GAGTAGGATAGAGGGGGCGGGAACAGGAAGTTCCGAGTAGGATAGAGGGGGCGGGAACAGGAAGTCCGGAGTAGGATAGAGTGGGAGGGAACAGGAAGTTCGGAGTAGGATAGAGTGGGCGGGAACAGGAAGTCTGGAGCAGAGCAGAGTAATGATGGTGTAACCGCAGCAAAGCCACAGCCATGTATAGTAAGTGAAAAAATGTTGAAAACCAAAATACAAACAGTTTACAGTGAGAGCAACAGTAAGTTTTAAATATGAGTATGATGCAGTCACTGAAGAAATATTACCAAAATATACGGCTGTGACCATTTTTACAGTTGGTGGATAAAAGAAACGGCAGCAGCAGCGATGTGAGAAATGAAGGAAACCCGCTATTCAAACACTAAAAAAGGAACGATGCAAAAAAGCAACGTGTGTAAAAATTGTTAACCCATCCTTGCCCAAAACCATAAGTGTTTCCAGCTGCTCTGAATTTATTTTCATATAATTTTGCAATATTTGTTTCCTTTAATTAATCAAAGATAAAAACACAGTCTTCAATCAAAGCTTTTTAACCAATGTACTAAAGTCACTTTTTTATAACAGAGCTGAAGATAAATATTAGAAACGCCTGAAAAATAACTGCTGATACAATTATAACATGATGTAAAGCATCTCGATATAAACAATGAAATCTCCCCTTATGTCTGGCCCTCCATGTCTTTATTAAAGCACCTAGTCACTACAGACCCCAAACCCAAAGGTGGTTTCTGTGTTTGTCTCATTTAAGAACTGAATGACGTCAGCAATGGGAGCACGATTTAGGTCATTTTACTGTGAACCAAACTTGTTAATCAGATTTGGATGAACTGAAGTCTGAATAACATCACTAGATGAGTTTGAGGCTGTCTATACGCTGGATCCACTAGGGGGCAGTGGTTCCCTTTAAACCAAGCCTGCTAAAAATGTGAGACTGTTTTTATGAGTATGACAGTTTTTTTGTGTTTTTATTTTATTTACTAAAAAATATGGAAAGCTCATCTAATAACTAGAATAAATGATGAATTACAAATATAGGAACTTATATTTACATAAAAAGAAGTTTCAGCTCAGAAAGGCTGTTACAGACAAAAATACACAACTAAGCAGCAGCTTATTCAACACCAGATTGACTCATCATAAACAAAAAAATGTTTAAATTATTTTATTTTGCTGGTAATATTTTTACCTTTAATTAAAATGCTTCTTTTCTGAATCTAATTTTCTGAATGTTCTTATCTATTTATTAGCCTTTTAGCTTTTACCCCCATTAAGGAAAACAATAATAATGATGAATATGCTGGAGTATAATGTGTAAAGAT